TTAAGTTTTGGATACCAAGTCCAAGAAAAAAGCCATAGACATTACTGATTGAATTAGAAAAACGTGTATTAATATCCAATATCAACGCATAAAGTATAGAGATGTAATTTGATTGCCTGTAATATTCTTCGATTGTATCTGAAGGTACATTTTGTCGACACGTCTGTCGTTGTACCATTCTTTTGTAGATAAAATACTACAATCTTTTTTTAATTCTTTACCATCATCAATTATTGTTTTTTCTGTGGCTCTAAAAATTTTCTTAAACATTTCTTCTCAGTTTTCTCTTTAATTTTATGAAACAGTTAACAGGTCTTTAATGCAATTTTTTGCTTTATGTGAATCTAAACATTTTTTTGAAACAACTGACTGAGCCCATTTGTTAAGGAGAATGTACATGTACTGCACAGCCTAAAAGCACAATAAAATCTCTTTCTCTAATTGATAATAATAAAATTCTTGCGTTTGATGAAGATGTTATATCATTCTATTTAGATATATTGTCAGTGCATCAATTATTTGTGAAAGCTCAACACTAAACATCAGCAAAACATCATGTCTTTCAGCCAAGAGTAAAAGCAATTGTGAATTTAGCATTTTTTATAATAAAATTTCGTTTTGCAGAAGTATTGAAAAAAGCAACAGGTTTGCTAATAACCCCCAAACAATTCCTAATTTCATGTGCTTTTGAGCTCTTGGATAAAGTTAAAATTAAAGCATGAACATAACATGGATACCAAACAGCATTTGACACAACTTGTTAAATTTCAACTACCGCTCCTTCTTGCAGCCATCAAATAATATAACATTGTTGTCATTTGTGACTGATGTGATGCATCAGTTGTTTTGTCAAACATAATTTGATTCTCTAACACTCACAAGGCGTTGAGTGTTTCATTGGTTACTCTGCTTACAATATCCATTGCTGGTTTTGATAGTTTTTTAAAAACCACTTTCCTATTTCAACAGCTTTCTTGTGATATGTTACTTTTATCGTGACTTGTTAGATCTCTGTCCTTGCCAACAGTTTAGCAAACACCTGTAATGTTTTCAAACTAGCTTCTGAAGTGCAACTTGTTTGTGAGATCCTGCAGTCCAGTGGTATAAAAACAATGCATGATAATTGCAGTATAGATTATTTTGTAACATTCAATATATTTGAATATCACAAAATGTGTTGTGATGTTTAATTTGCAAAAACAAAAACTTTGTCATGTAATTAAATTTAAAAAAATTAGAATTTAGAAATTCCTATAAATTCCTTCTCGCTTTTAAACTTTCAACTTACTATCTAAAAGTGATTCAATTAAGTTGCTGCGCGGCAAGTTTTAAACTGATACCAATATATGACGTCATTTCATAGTTACACTCGTTAAAGTAGTTTTTTTTTTTTTTAAACATATTCGCTTTCAACAAGGCTGCAAGCAACCACTAATTAGAGTTGGAAGTTACTGGAAATGAAAAGATAAAGATTGTAGAGCAATATAAGATTGCAGAAGACTTAAAAGATTGCAAATAAAATGAAAGAGGAAAGCAAGATGACGGAAGCTAAGTCCAAAGAACTGATGTTTGAGAAAAAATAAAAAAAAACTAGACGAATAAAAGTTTTTAGAGCTCTTAAGAACAGTCACAGAAAAACAATGACACTTAATTAAATGACGAGTAACACGAGAATGAATTTTAGTAAATGGCACAAGAGACGCTATCTCTTTAGAGCAGTGTCAATTATAGTATTTGTAGAAAAGAGAAAGAGAAACAGCATTACGACAATATGATAATGTTTGGAGGTTGGCTGCAAGAGCAGGTCTAACTGTGTTTACTATGCATTTTTGCACCTTGTCAAAAGGAGAAAAGACATCATAGGAAAATCCGCCCCACATAAGGCAACAGAGTTCCATACAAGGACGGATTTGAGATTTATAGAGATGGAGAATAAAATCCGGAATAAGAAAATGTTGAGCTCAATTAAGTGATGCAACTTTAGCAGATGCTAATTTTGCAATGGTTTTGATATATGGTTTCCAAGAAAAATTGGAAGTAAGAGTTAATCCTAGAAGATGAAGGGTAGATGACTTATCGAGTACATTATCGTTCATAAATTTAGGAAGATCTGAATTATTGCGATAACGATTGGCTGAATAAAATTGAGTTTTATCTGAATTAAAATTTACCAGCCACTGTGAACTCCATGCTGGAGCAAAGTGAGATCCTTTCCACAAAGTGTTGGGTTCTTATCATGACAAGAATAAATAGTAGTATCATCAGCGAACAATGCCACCTTCGATGTGAGAATGTCTGGAAGATCGTTAATGTAAATTAAAAAGAGCATAGGGCCAAGGAATAATAAGTAGAGTGCTATCCATTAAGGACAACTTTTATACTACAATTGGAAATGATGTATTCAATTATCTTAAAGATGTTTCCAGATACACTGTAAAAAGAAAGCTTATGGAGAAGACCAGCATGCCAAACTTTTCTAAACGATTTAGAAATGCCAAGAGCGATGGCCTTAACCTCTCCACCTTTACCAATTGCACGATAAAACTTATTGGTTATTACTGTTAGCAAATCAGCAGTAGAACGAGAAAATCGAAATCTATATTGATGATCAGAAAGTAAGTTATTAGATTCAAGATAAGAGATTAAGTGTTTGTTAATTTTCAAAAACCTTGTTTATGATAGGAAGAAGACTAATTGTGCAGTAGTTAGACGAATCAGATAGCTCTCCATAATTTTCAAAAATAGGGATAACAGATGCTGCTTTCCAGCAGGCTGGAAAACAAGACTCTGACAAGCACTTGTTGAATAGTTTTGAAAGAATAGACGACACTCCGGAGATCACTTCTGCAAGACTATAACAGGTATGTTGTCCAGACCACAATCTGGACGACATGCCTGTTGTCCAGATTGTGACAAAGTCTGAACCATACAAGAGAGGTGGAAATACGGATTTGCCCTTATTATTGATACTATTAAGGATTTTCCAGAAGTCACGAGAACCTAATTTTTGTGATGAAATACGAGATTTCATGACTTAAGTATAGCGGGTTTTGGCGTCAGACAAAACCTTTTTACAATGGTTTTTAGCTGTAATAAACAGTCTATTTTCTGGAGAATTGTTTTGCTGATAGATATGGAAGTAATGGTTTCCATTGGCAACTACAGCAGCACAATGTAATAAAAATCATGGAAAAGTATGAGGCTTGACCTGGAATTGTCGAGAGGGAATAAAAGATTGCATGCCAGCCTGAATGATTAGGTTGTCTGGAAAGCGAGTTAAAAAGTTGACTTATTGAGTAATGGATTGAGAAAGGAAAAAGTTGTGGGCTTTAATGCCTGCAGAGTTGCTGACACTTGAGCTAAGCCATTCAGTGTAATGAGCATTAAAGTCACCAACAACAACAATATTGGTTGATGGATAAAGAGAGAAGGCTTAGTCAATATTGTTAGGAATAACATCAAGAAGAGTGCAGTCTTGAGTTGAAGGAAAGCAATATAGAACAAAGAGAAAGGCGATAGCGTGAAGTGGTACTAAACGAAAGCACATAAAAGAGTAGTCTGTGGATTCGAACCTATTTTCCCGACAAACGGGTGAATTCTAATGAATGTAAATGCCCAGGCCAAGCATGTGGCTATTGGAGTATTTACGAACTAAAAGAAGATAACCAATACTAACAAACAGCAAGGAAGAATATCAATACGAAGATCGCAAGATGAGACAGCTGAACTCAAATTAGTCTCACAAAAAGCAAGTAGGTCTGGTGAACTTTGCAAGAGATAAGACTCAACAGAAGAAAAGTTACTTCAAAGACCACAAATATTGGTGAATGATAGGTTTAGCGATTTTGGTGATGACTGTGGTTTTATGTGTTTTATAGTTTTTGTTACTTTTTTCATTTTTAAATTTGTGAGAAAACTTGACTCGAAACATAGATAGTACTCAGTACACTGTTCAATAGCCCAAGCAATTGCCTCATTACTATTAATAAACCCTAAGCCGTAACAAAGGGCTCTAATATGGACTTGGCAATGCACACCAAAAGTACAAACAGGGACACCATCCATGCGTAACATGGTACTGCTAATACTTCGATATTTTTCAGCTGTTGATGGAATCAGTTTCTCTGAGAGCTACCACAGAGTTTAGGAAACCTGACTACCAGCCGGTCTCAGAACCATAAAACTGAGTTTTAGAGCTCTACCCTCATTAGGAGATAATAGAATGAGTTGCCTAGTCATAAAAACAGAGACACAAGCTAATCCCATGCATCAAGTCAAGAAGATCCAGCATTCAACATCCAAAACTGGAAACAATGTGTTAAAAATACATCTGCACCAGGCTAATAGATAAAGAAAGGGTGCGAGGCTGATCAACAGATAGAATCTGTTTACCCCTTAAGTCTTTGCCTAGGAGGCCTTCTTCGAGACAGCAGCCGGATGCATTTGACATCTGCCCAAGATGAGTATTTTTATCAAGACACCATCTCTAGCCTTTACTCAACCAAGTACCTCAAGGCAGGGGGTGTTTTATGTCGGAGTTGGCATCTGCAAGCCTTTATCTAAGAAGGCGTATCCTAAAAGGCAGCAGGGCATGAAGCAGATTGTATTGGGTTACATGTTAACAGTAGCAGGATAACCTGACTTGACATGGGAATAATTTATTTAGAACTAAAGACTAAAATTAAAAATTGAAAAGTAATATATATATATATATATATATATATATATATATATATATATATATATATATATATATATATATATATATATATATATATATATATATATAAGTATAAGAGTATGACGGAAAAAGAGTAATATTCAAACGAAAATTATATAAAAAAAATTTGTAGGGTTGCTGAAAAATTGCTCCCCCTCCTCCTCCTTGCTTGATAGGAAAGCTCGTTACTAATTATATTTATATTCGTTACTAATAATATTTATATACACATTTTTTTAAACTGAATACCTCAACTATTCACTCACATATACGGACGTATGGTGAAAAATTTCATGCGGGTTGAAATACAGGCTAATGTTTACGTCGGGAATTCTCCCCTTCGTTAAATTCAACTTAACCTAATATAAATAAACAAAAAATTGAAATGAAACTGCATTCAGTTTGGAAATTACTTTTTAAAATAAGCTACAATTCTAATAGAAAGGAATAGTCAAATTGAATAATTTTAGGCCAGTTACAACTTGTATGGTTTAGAAAAATATTTTATAGAACAGTAATGGATGATATATTACTGGAAGAAGAATTCCAATTACATTTAAAATGCAATAGCATATACTCTGTTCAGTTAATGCGGCAAAACATTAATTTTTACAAAAAAGACTCTAAGCAGTCTTTAAAAGAATTTAGATCAATTTTGTTAAAAAATGTTATTGGCTGTAATGTTTTTGAAAGTTGTGATAATAAAAATCCAATCCCTTGTCTAAAAATTACTTCATTGGTAAAAAACAAGAAAAGAGTGCGTACAAAGCAAAGTGTAGTTTTTTGTTTTGGCGATAATAATAAGGGTGACAAGAAAATATTTGATGTATGGGTGCGCACAATACTTTGGTTACTTGAGGATCCTAGCATAGATAGTGAACATTTGAAGGGTAACTCATTTGTTTTTTATTTTATCAGTTATTATCAACAAAATCAAATCAATCATTTATATTTTGGAAAAGTCATTTTAAGGGTATTTGCAAAGTAGTGATGCTGCTAATCTGAAGTAAACACTTAAAAAAATTGATATTTTTATATATAATTAATAATAATAATCATAATAATGATAATAATAACAACAACAATAACAACAATAGTATATATATATATCGCAAAGTTTCATTTTTTATTTTGATTTTTATGTAATCTGAAACAAGTTTTAACCCTCTTTGGCTGTGTTATTCCCAACTTTCATAGAATTAACAATTTATGTACTTGATTTCTTTATCTACTTCCTGGAATTCGGTTACTGTGCTCCAGGCATCTGAGCAATGTTCCTTCATAAATATCCAATTTATTCTGAGCACTTCAAATAAGAATCTTTTGTCTTCAAAAAATCACAATTTGTAGAAGATTCTTCTCTTTATTTTTTTTAAAATAAAATTGATATCGAAACAATAAATTTTAATAGAGTACTGTGTTTTCGCTATCAATTGTACTTTGTGCATAACACCAGAAGTACAAAAAGTTATTCCACTTTAACCTAGAGGAGTTTTTACTAAAAAAATTATTGACAGTTGCAAAATTCTTTGTAATTATCGCAAATTGTTTTGTTCTTTGCAGCATATTTACAGAAAATCTTGCTACTGATGTTACAAGCGAACCATACACTTTGAGATCTGCATCAGTTAAGACCCATAAATTGAAGTTAAGTTTACTCCATTGATCAGAAAAATGTTTAAACAACTTCTAGACTAATAGATGGCTCAAAACAAGTTTTGTAAACATTGGATAAAATCACTTGATTAACACAGTGTCAAAAGACTGTGTATAATAAAGACTTTCCAATTAATTTTTCCAGCAAGCTGTACCTTGAATGTATACCTGAATGTATACCTGTGCTGCTTGAAGTATCATTAAAACAGAGTACCATAATTTTGTTATATGAAATGTTCCAATATTTTTAGGCTTGTTCAGTTGCATAACTCATTTGTTTACCGGTTTCTTTATCTAAAGCTGGAGCAAAAGGAGGGGGTGTGATACCCCTGAATCTTTGATTTTTTTGTTTATTTAGTTGGCAAGTATAGATCCTTTAGATAAGTAATGTTGGCAAATGTCGACAAAGCAGTGGGCAAGTTTCAAAAAACTAGGATCTTTTTTTTCTTTTTTTTAAATTGGTAAAAATTGAATGGCACCCCAACAACCACCCCTAAACACATGACACCTGTTCGCGTCGGCCCTGCCTCTATCTAGTTTAGGGCTGACAATAGTTTTTTGACATCATATCCTGCCACTAATATGTCCACTTGGTCCACTTTATCTCTGTTGTTCAAATAAGGTAACAGTTTTCTGTCTTAATATACAGCAAATGGAAGCTGTGCACAGTAGTGCAAAACCTCAAAAAATTGTCCATAATTTACAATTTTTCAAAACATAAAATTTTTTTTTTATGATGTCTCAAGACCTGCACTTTCTCTTACATTGTTGTTATTTTTTAAGCAAAATTGGTAAGACTTGTGTTTTAGATAGCAATTTGTGCTTTGTATTCACAGCTGTAGCTTGACCAATACACCATACTTCATTTTGATTAAAATAAAGTATGGTGTCTTATTATTAAAAATGTGTTTTCATTCAAGACAATGATTTCATTTGTAACTTCAGGATGAAGCAGTTATTTCAGCAGTAGTGCAATGCTGATGCAATAACTTAGCTGGATAATAAAATATTACACTATCATTATAATATATATATCAATATATCATTATAAAATATTACACTATCATTATAATATATATCAATATATCATTATAATCAATCATGCAAAAATTATATACCTATTGTAAAACTAAAAAATAAAGCAAGTGAAATTTGGATGTCAAATAGCTTGAGAAAAGAAATCAAGTACAAAAATAATTACTGGACAACAAATAAAAAAATGAACTGGTCTATAGCTGGCTCAAAAAAAAAAATAATAAAATGAAAAGAAACATTTTAAAACAAATAAATAACTCTGTTAAAAATTACGAAAGAAACTTTGTAAATCAGGTAAAAAATGAACCTAAATTACTATATTCATATATTAGAAAAAAGCAGAAAGTAAAAAATCATATAAGAGCACTTAATGATAATATTGGTTCAACAATGTATGACAAACATAGTATTGTCGATATTTTTAACAAGTATTTTCATTCTGTCTACATAAAAGAAGAAAATATAAATGATTGTAATTTTGAAGTACAAACAAATAGTAGGTTTGGAAAAATATTCGTTGATCAAGCACTTGTGAAATCATATTTGTCAAAATTAGACATTAACAAGTCTAGTGGATATGACGAAGTAAATCCTTATGTGTTATGCTCTGAAAGTTTTTCAATACCACTATCAATTATCTACCAACAAAGTCTAACAAATAGTGATATTCTTAATCTCTGGAAAATGGCAAATGTGAGTCCCATATTTAAAAATAGAAGTAACTTGCAAGCAATAAATTATCGAATAGTATCTTTGACATCCATACCTTGCAAAGTACTAGAAAAAATTATAAGTGATAACTTAAAAAACTATTTAGAATCAAATAATCTTTTCTGTAAACAACAACATGGTTTCTTAAAGGGTAAAAATTGTATAACAAACTTATTAGAATCCTTATATTTTTTAACATACCAACTAATGATAGGCAATTCAATAGACATTTTATATACTAATTTTCAAAAAGCATTTGATAGAGTGCCTCATAAGAGATTAACATCAAAATTATGTGGTTATGGAATAGAAAAAGAAATGCAAAATTAGATAGAAACATATTTATCAAATAGAAAACAACGCGTTATAATTGGTGATACAAAATCAGATTGGTTAGAGGTGCTAAGTGGTGTTCCACAGGGTTCTGTGCTTGGACCATTATTGTTCTTGTTATATATTAATGATTTACCATCTAAAAATAAAAATAAATGCGAACTTTATGCAGATGATAACAAAATTATAGCTGTAGTTAACAACCAGGTAGACTCAAAAAGCTTGCAAGACGATATTAATAATCTAATTGAATGGTCCAACAAATGGATGATAAATTTCAACATCAAAAAATGTTAAGTCATGCATTTTGGACAGCATAATAAGAATTTTGAATATTTTATAAAAGATTCAAAGTTAGCTTCAACAACTAATGAAAAAGACATTGGATTGTTAATTTTAAATACTATGAAGTGGAATCAACATGTAAATATGGTTGTAAATAAAGCAAATAGTCGATTAGGTCTACTAAGCAAATTATTTACTTACAAAGATAAAAACACAATGAAGATTTTGTATTGCACTTTTGTAAGACCTATTCTTGAATATGCATCACCAATATGGAACCCTTATAATAAAAATGACATACATAAATTAGAAATTGTTCAACAACGAGCAACAAAGTTGATTCCAGAGTTAAGACACCTACCCTATGAAGAAAGTTTAAAAAAACTCCAACTGACTTCTTTAAAAATCAGGAGATTAAGATATGATTTAATTCAATATTATAAAATATTTCATAATTTGGACAAAGTGTGTTGGTATCAACAACCAAAAACAGCAATTTCAATTTCAGCAAATGGTCCAGCTTCAAGCATTAGAGGACATAAAGCACGTGTAGATATTGAGCTGATAAAAAGAAACAGACCAAGGGAAAATTTTTTTACAAATAGAGTTGCAAAATGGTGGAATCATCTCCGCGAAAAGTGTAAATATCTTCAAGGACAAGCTTGGTAAACATATGTTTATTATGAAACTCTGATCTCTATGACTATTATAAAACTGTTAATAGCAATGGCTCATAATAGATTCAACATGGCGTTAAATCTCAAGGAGCATAAATAAATAAATAAATAAACTCTGGGTGTTCTAAATGCTAGCCAACTAATTTCATTATTAACTTATTAATTTTTTAAAAAGATAACAGTGTGTATCTTGCATTTGGCTCATAATATTAAAAAATAACAAATTATTGATAACATTTTCAAATTAATTAGAAAAATAAAAGATATAAATGATAAAATATGAAAAATATGAACTTGAGCAACCTTGCAAACTTAAAAAACTGGGCTGAACAACCTATAAAAATTAACAAATTGTATCCTAAATTTCCCAATATATTTTTTTTATTAAATGGAACCAAATAAAACGTTGAGCATAAGAAAATTTTTTTTTTTTACACATACACATGCACACACATTTTTTGAATGACAACATCTTGTATGAGAGCTGGATTATATATATAGCATTAATAAATACAAGTTCTCTTGATATTAATTTTTTATTAATTTCAAAAATTTTTGCTAGATTTTTGATACTAGCAAAAATCATGATATAATCTTTCAGTCACAAAATTAAGCAAGGCAGCCTTTAAGCTTTAGTTACAAGCCTTTAAAGTAGAATCTTCAGCTTTAGTTACAAACTAAAAAATAAATGATCATAATTAAAGATGAAGAAGCTAGTGTCAAATATGTAAAGCAAAAATTTCTTAAATTAATAACAAATTAGTATTGAGAGAATTTATATTTATTAATGTTCATATATATAAAAAAACCTGAAAGTGTTTGAGGTTAGCAAAAAATTCCCCACCTCGTTTTTATGTTTTTAAATAATCTTTGCCGACCTCAAAAAGATTGAGGTTGACAATAATTTGCCGACCTCAATCTTATTTTCCTAATCTAAATTTTCCTAATTCTGATGGTTATATATATATATATATATATATATATATATATATATATATATATATATATATATATATATATATATATATATATATATATATATATATATATATATATATATATATATATATATATATATATATATATATATATATATATATATATATTATATATTATATATTATATATATATATATATATATATATATATATATATATATATATATATATATATATATATATATATATATATATATATATATATATATATATATATATATATATATATATATATATATATATGAGTATATATGAGTCAGACTTGTGAGTCAGACTATTTGCTAGTCAATGTAGCAGCATTCCCTTGTGAGTCAGGCTATTTGTCAGTTGATGTAGCAGCACTCCGTTTCGAGTCAGGTTATAGGATAGTTAATGCAGCAACACTCCATTGTGAATCAGGCTATAAGATAGTCGATGCAGCTTAATTGTTAAGGTAGCAAATTGTATTCAAAAGAGACTTTTTTTACATTAAAAGTCTCTTTCGACTGCGATAAAAGGATGTATAAATATATATACATTTTTAATGCTGTTAAGTCATATTTGTTTTTTTGTAACATATTTATTTTTATATAAGTTTTTTTTATTATTTTTGGAATTTGTTATATATACTATCTACTATAGCATATTTATATGCGCAATTGCTAACTTTTTTTGCTCATCTAAATCAATATATATATTTTTGAGAAAAAATGAAGAATAATGAATGAAAAGGTTGCTGACCCATCCCAAACCCTTAGGCTATGTAGCAGCACTCCACTGCAAGTCAGGCTATTTGTCAGTCGATGTATATACTGAAGCCCCCGGCAGCAGGCTATTTCAGTATAACGTCATCATGCTCATATAACTCAGCAGTATAAGATATATGATGTTGTTTTTTAAGACACCCTTATTTATATATATATTCTCTTCTTCTCAACAAAAACTTTAATGATTCTTATATAAAGTTTGTTAAAGGGACCTTCGCTGTTTAATGTTGTCGCTTATAAAATTCAATTTTTTTTTTAAATTTTCACTTTTTTTATTTTTGTCTATAAAAAATCTTATATAATTTATAAATTTATAAAAAATTATACAATTTTAAATGATATTTTAATTTAAAAGCGTTTTGCTAATATAAAAACGTTAGTAAAGATAAATGTGTCAAAGTAATTTCTTTGAGTTGTAATTAAAAACCAATTTTTTCAGCGCATTTGTTAAAAACCGTGGTTAAATCATCAAAACAAAATATTATTTGCGTGGTCATATAAAGACTTGAAAGTGTATATATATGAATAAAGAAAAAGATCTTTATATTATCATGTATAATTTTGTATACTTAAAAGAGTGCTCAATAGATAAACTAGAGCTATATAGTGTATATGTTATCCGCAGTACCAGGAATTAGCTAAATGCTAATGTTTATATATAAACTATATTATAAACATTAGCATTTAGCTTATTCCTGGTACTGTGGGTAACAGTACATACACTATATATATATATATATATATATATATATATATATATATATATATATATATATATATATATATATATATATATATATATATATATATATATATATATATATATATATATATATATATATATATATATATATATATATATATATATATATATATATATATATATATACATACATCATTTATGTTTAGACTTTTTTTTTTAGCAAAAACAGAATGTCCATTAAAAAAAAAATATCTAATTGTCATTAACCCCAAAAGTGGGCAAGGTAAAAGTGAAAAAATATTCATTCAACAAGTTGAACCAATTCTCAAAGATGCACATGTTGTATATGAAACATTGATTACAGGTTAAACTTTATGCTAAATGTATTTTTGTATATGCTTTTTTTGGATTCAATTTTTATTGAATTGTTAAATAACTGAAAAATAGAAGTATAGTTAAATATTTATTGTGACTAAATATTTAATTTATAAATATTTATAAATTTTTGTAAATATTTATAAATATTTATTAATATTTACTTTATATTTTTAATGTGCAAGTTTAATTTCATTCATTTTCTTAATAAAATAATTTAATAAAAAAACTTAACTTATTTTTAACTTATTTTTATATCTTTTTATATTATTAGTTTATTAATAATATAATTTTTTTTTTTGTTTAATCACATTTATTGACTGAATTGTTAATAAATGTACAAAATATGTCAAAGAAATTTTTCAGTAATGAAAGTTATTTATATTGTTTTGGCTTTGGTCAGATTATTTTTAAGATTTCCTGTTATCTCTGTTAACCACCATTGTTATATTACGTTGCATATTTCCAGATGATTTGCATATTTTCAGATCTTTTACACATTGCCAGACTTTCTGTTGCATATTCCCCGACCTTTGTGTCTGTCTTGTATACATCTTAATGCCTAAATATTCATATTTTATAAAGTTCATTCATTTAAAGTTTTACTTTCTATTCTTTATCAGTCAAAGATAGGAGGAGAGTTAATTGTTCACTGAATCACCACTGCTTATGTCTCTGCATACTGCCATACCAATGCAAATTCAATTTTATAATATAATAATTGATGCAAAATGCACTCTTGAAATTTGCAAAACATTTTATAGTTGAGTTTGAAACCAGATTGGCTTTAGAAACATAGCAGACATAACAGACAGTTCATCGTGTTGGTTGGACAGACATAACAGACAGTTGTGAAAAATCTTAACCATTTTTTTTCCACATCTTGGTGATCTCATTCCAGACTTCTAGCAAATTTTTCAGACTTCTATTGTTTTATATTTCATTCTTCTCTAAAGGTTTCTAAAGTTTGATATACTGGGACTCTTTGTCTTCTCTCTTATTAAAGTCACCGAAAATTAGCAGATAGGTATTTCCAACATATTTCCTGTAGAAAAGTTGAATGTTGAAAAATACAGAAAACAAATATAGGAATAGTAATAACTTTAGAGTGTAATCTATTGGTTGTTTTGTGGCAAGCAGCAAACATTTGATCTACCTTGTTAATGTATCCTTGCAGATTCAAAATTGACTTCATCTGATATACTATCTATGAAGCTTGCTGACGGAAAAACAGTATGTCATCAATATCACCCAAATCAGATGTGGAAAGCTGAATGCTATACTTTCTACAGAAACAGTTATTTTAGGATCTTCATCTATCTGTTTCTATCAATCAAAATTAAAAACACCCCTTCAGAGTATTCATAATTGCTTGACTGAAGTTTTTACCTGAAAATATTTTAGTGTTACATATGAACTCAGTGCACTTTAAGAATATTTGGTTTATAAAAAAACATTTTAATTGCTCTCATTTTCTTTTCAGCTTCAAGAAATTCCATTCAAGAAAAAAAGGAATGTAAATGCAAAAAATTGCTACATAAGGTGCAATTTTGTTGACATCTTCTCTGGTATTCATTTTCATTAACTTTCTCCTATCAAAACATCAATAAGCAGCAGTGCAGCAGTGTTGAATTCATAATCTATGAGTACTGAGTTCAAATCTTGCTCAAACCACATAAGCATTGTCAGTTTGCAAATGGGGAACCAACTCATTAAATGCTAATCCCCAGATCCCCGTGTGCTAATCTCATATATAATAAGAGAATCAAAATCTGTAATAATAGTCAGAAAGTTAATAGAGTAAATATACAATATTATACTTTTAAAGTATGTACTCAGTTATTCAGACTCAAGAGTATGTACTCAGTTATTCAGACCCAAGAGTTTAAGAAGTTTTTTATATAAAAATTAAAAGACTTTATAATTGCAAGCTTAATTGGACTATAGTTAAAAAAGTCAGAATGATCCCTGCAGTTTAAATAGTAAAGACAGATCCTATTTTCCTGCAAGCAGAAAAATAAGATTCAGTTTAGCATTTAGCTGAGTATTTTTTTAGAAAAATATAAAGAATGTTTAAGACAAAAATGTTTTTATTGGTTTATAAGACTGTGACAAAAATATTTTTATTGATTTATAAGATTTATAAAAATGTTTTCAGAATTACAAGCTTTAAAGGAGTTAAAGTGAGAAATTTAGCAACAGAGGCCAGAATCATTAAGAAATCTAACAATGGCTTAACTTGTTTATTTTTGATGTCAAGAAAAATGTGATCATTAGATTTGGTCACTTTTCAGAAAAAACAAAAAAATCAGCTCAAGGTAAAGAAACAAATGACATCAGCCCTAAGAATATTACAAAAATCGAAAGAAATCTTAATCAGCCTTTGGTTAGTTGTAAGAAATTAAATGTTGAGGATGAATGAAATAAGGATTTAAGAAGCATTAGTATTTTTAATATGTATTTTTAAATTTACATGCCCTCTAGTTTTGAATTGATAAAATTGTTGATAACTGTAGTGTGACCAGTCTATACTTTAAAATTACTGTAAATAAGTTGTAGTACTACTAAAACAAGAATGTTAGGTTTTTTAGTTAGGTTTATTTCAAAATTTTACTTATAAGTTGCACCTTGCTACTGTCTTGCCATTTAGGCAAAGACTTTGAATTATTTAATTATTTAAAATTTTATTGAAAACTTTGAATTATTTAAAAATTTTAATTGTAAACTTTCAGTGGAATATTAACTTATAATAATAAATGTACTGTAATAAACTTTATGAAGATCTTCTAGAGCACAAATGAGAGTTCTTGTTATTACCCAGTGTTTTTACTCTAAAGTCTGCGATAATTACAGGATACTTAAATTCTTTTCTTTAAAGCTAGTAGTTGGAGCTCCAAATAACTTTAGTAACTGTCAGAACCGTAACTAAATAGCGTACAAGAAATAAAATTACAATTAAATATTTACTAGTGTATAAAAAATACAACAATTATTAGATTCTTTTATAGATATCCTGCTTGGTCCTTTTGTTTTAATTGATAATATCTGTATAAAAAATGACATGGTAACTTTAATAAAATTCTTAGCAATATCTGAAATTATTGTTGATAGCTGTTGAGAGAAAGCAATCTTGTTTATTATTATTATTTTTTTTTGAACAGCTGCTCACATCCTGTAAATAACATAATCATTACTAATAACAACCACGTAGCACTTATTTTGTTGTTAACAAAATAAGTGAACCAACAAAAAGTTATTTGGTTCCTAAGAAGTTTGAAAAAAAAGTTGCCCTAGTACACTAGTACTTAAGAAGGCCTCTTAGAAATTTCTTCAGATAATTAAAATAAAGTGTCACTTAATTTTTTTCAGGTTTTTTTCTTAGAAAGATCTTCTTGATCTTCAGCATAATACCTGTACTGCCATTATTTGTGGTATTTACATATATCAATGGAATTAGCTCAGCATCATCCAAAACTGACCTTAGCTGGGATTATAGCATTATAGTTCTTCTTTAAGAATACCACTATGTTGGTCAGGCAAAAAATATTGGACACAATCATGCCATTTTATATAGAAAGCAATTTTTTTCTGAGTTCTTGTTTTATTAGCCCAGAATAACATGTTGTGCAGTAAATTTACCGGGCTTAACTTTTATCCTTGTGACCAAGTTCGATATCAAAATAAATTTTCTTTGCAGCTATGAAAAAAAATTTCTTTGCAGCTATGAAAATCTTGGCTCAATTCTTTGAAAGTGTACTTTACATTGTAAAAATAATGTGTTATACATTAATTTAGTTTTTTTATTTGTAGTCTACTCAACAAGCTTTATTTATATTAGTGAAAAAATGTTGGAAAAAAAAATTTTTGATTTAAAGTTTGGAAAACAATAAAAAATAATTTAAATAATTTTATAGAATATGCAGGTCATTGCAGAAATTTTGCTTCCACATTTGACTATACAAAGTTTGATGCAATAGTCATTTGTTCAGGTGATGGATTGCTACATGAGGTATGAAATAAGTTTAGTATAGCTGTATAATTAAAATGTATTTGTCACATTATTTATTATCTTATATATACAGTTGTGGCCAAAAGTTGCTTGTTTTTTCAACAAATTCAACAAATTCAAAAACAATTTTAAAGGACACAGTGTCTCTAACACATCTCACAGTTTATCAAAACCTTGTTTAAAATTTCATAACAGTAATATAGTTCAGTTTTACATATCAATAATATCTGCTACACTGTCCCTTATTCTTAATTGTTTCTTCAATTCTCGCTGGCATAGAATTTACGAGATTTTTACAAACATCAACATTTATGTCTGTGCATCACACACGTGTAATGATGTCACAAAGATCATCTAAATTTAATGGTTTCTCTTTATCAATCTTTAGTTTCATTATTTGCCACAAGTTTTTGATGGGGTTAAGGTCTGGGCTCTGCACGGGCCAAAGACCTAGAACCTTAACGCCATGATCCCCAAGCCAGTTTTTCACTAAAGCTGTTTAATGACAGGGAGCACCATCGTGCATAAATAATTTGCAGTTATGAATCTGCATAACTGTAAAAAGCTTTTCACCCAGTATGGTAATATTTTCTGTACATTCATAATGGTATTGTGGGAGAAAGTAGAGGGAGCCTTGGCCAGACGGTGAGAAGCTGCCCCATACCATCAGGTATGCTGCATGTTTAAGAGTTTGTATGCAAAACTTTGAATCAAATTTTTTATTTGCAGGACGGCAAACATATCTTGGTGCTGCAGAAAATAACTTTATGTTACTTTCGTCACTAAACTTTACTTCATCCCACATTTCACTTGTGTAATATTTGAATTTCCTACAAAAAAGTAATCTATCACGAACTTTCTTCTTCGATAAAAGCGGTTTTTATGCAGGTTGGTATGCTTTTAGATAAAAAGCAATACCGACCTGCACGGTTTTTGTGCAGGTTGGTATGCTTTTAGATAAAAAGCATAAATTTTTAGATAAAAATCACTTAAATATTGTCAAATGGTTCTTGTACTAACTCTGTGTGGCAGTTGACTTGCTACGGCAGAGGATGATATCATTGGATTCTTCAACCCGTGTTGTTTTATCGCTTGATCTGTAGCAGGAGTTGTAACTTTAGGGTCTCCGGCGACATTTTGATTTCACATCATCTGTTTTCACCAATGTTTCATTGTCAATGACACAACTTGCTGGGAAACATTAAGATGCCGCAGCTGCTTGTGTTAAACCAGAGTTAACTAATTCAACAATCTGACCACGTTTTTTTGGTATGAAATTTTGGTATTCCATTTTTGGTATGAAATTATTAACCTAAAGTAAACAAAGAACACAACATAAATAAAGAAGAAATGAAACTAATTCATTTTTTTTAATTAAAGATTATTTCAATTAGTTCAAGCAATAAATCCAAAAAATTTTTGGTTAATTTCTAGGCTTTCAACAAGCTTAAAACAGCAAAATGACACGAAATGCAGTTATATTTGAGCATACAACAGACTTTTGGCCATAACTGTATTTTTTTTAAATTTGTTTTTTCATTTGTTTCAATATATATATATATATATATATATATATATATATATATATATATATATATATATATATATATATATATATATATATATATATATATATATATTGCAAACAGGTATAAAAAAATTAAATTTTACTAATATATCAGTGCAAAAATCACTTAACCCATCTTATTATATACCAATAATATTTAATTACCATTTTAAAATTGGTTTACAAAATAGCAATTTTTGATAAGTTCAAAAATTTGCGGACAAACATAAGTTTTTAACATTTTCACCACAAAATTGCTAATTTTTTGATTTTATAAATAAATATTTTGTGGAAATAATTTTCAAACTTTATAAGTGATTGAGATCATGGGATCTAAGAAATGTATTTCATCTCTAGTAAAAAAAATTGATCTTGAGATCAGTTCGAAATAGGAATTCATTTTGTAAAACACACAGCTTTATTGTATTGGTAAGTCTGCTGTTTGACAAATTATGAAGAGAAATGAGCTTACTAGATCTACAAAGAATAAAAATTAATCAGGAAAGCCACGCAAAACAAGGAGTTATCAGGATAAATAGCTTGTGATATTAAGCAAAGAAAATCCCTGTTTAACTGCTGTCGATATTAATGTACAAATAAGATGTTTCTATGGAATGAATTGTAGTATTTCTACTATAAAATGTTGTTTACATTATGCTAATTTATTTGGCAGACGTCCAGCTAAAAAATCAGTAGTTTCTTTAAAAAACTGTAATGCTCAAAAGGAGTTTGCATCAGAGTATCTAAAGTGTTGTGTCAACAATGTAAATTACTAAAAGTAACAACAACTAAAAGTGGAGTTAACAATGGTTAAAAATTCCTTTTTTTTAGCAAGTTCGACGAGTAGTAGGTACAAGAAACGATTCTAAATACCAAATGCCGACCATAAAACTTGGAGGAGGTAATGTAATGGTTTGGAAGTTAATATTTTGAAGTGGCCATCCCAATCACCTGACTTAAATCCCATTGAACATCTATGGGAACATGTTGACCGTCAAATGAAAGGAATCAAACCTACAAGTTATGTAGGCTTAATTCCTTTCAATTATGCTACTGTATATATATAGACTTTATTCCTTTTGATTATGCTAGTTGACCGTTTTAAAAGTTTACAGCCCCCTCAAATTTATGGGAGTTGAAACTTAATATGTTTATAATTTTTAAAAAATAAGAGATTATTGCATGAAATTTGAAATGTGTTGATGACTATAAATTTAGATAAAAATAGTAAAGAAAATGTTTTATTAACTTGTTGCTCCCATGCTAAGGGCTAGGTGGTCAAAAAATCTGGGTTTTTTTTGTTCCCATGCTCCAATCATTGCTGTAAAATATCAGAGTATTAAAAATGCTATGTTGTGCATGGATGGTGTCCCTATTTGTACTTTTGGTGTGCTTTGTAGAGGCCACAATTGGAGGCCTTTGTTATGGCTTAGGGTTTATTAATAGTAATGAGGCAATTGCTTAGACTATTAAATAGTGTACTGATTAAATAGTGTAGTGCTTAGACTATTAAATAGTGATACTATCTGTGTTTTGAGTGAAATCTTAAACAAATTTAAAAATGACTAAAGTACCGAAACTATAAAACACAAAAAACCATCGTCATCACTAAGTTCTCAAAATCTATCATTCACTAATACTCGTGGTCTTTGAAGTAACTTTTCTTGTGTTGAGTCTTATCTCTTGCAAATGTCACCAGATTTACTTGCTCTTTGTGAGACTAATTTGAGTTCATCTGTCTCATCTTGTGATCTTAGTGTTGATGGTTATCTTCCTTTACTTTGTAAAGACTTTTATAGTCACTTGTTTGGCCTGGGCATTACATTTGTAAGAATTCACATATTTGTCAATAAACTATGTTTGAATCCACAGGCTAATCTTTTTTGTGCTTATGTTAGCACCACTTTACTCTATTGCCTTACTCTTTGGCTTATCTCTAGTGTCAGTGACTTTGCAGGCATTTTAAGGCCTACAACTTTTGCATATCTTAATCTTTAACACTAATAGCCAACTTATTAACTCACTTTCCAGATAATCCGAATCATTTACCTTCTCTACTTAACTTATGTTTCTGATCCTAGTCAGTGCTCAGTTTCTCCACATTCATCCTTAGTTGCTTCTGATCACAGTTTGATCTTTCTAAAGCTATTATCTCAGTCTTCTACATCATCAGAATACCTTATCATCATACCACTTAAAAATACCTTAAAGCTGACTGGAACTCTTTCTGTGAATTTCTTCATGTTGGCCCTTGGGTAAAAATCTTTTGTCTTTTATTCCGTAAATTCTTGGATTCAGGCTGGCATGTAATCTTTTATTCCCTCTCGATGATTTCAAGTCAAGCCTCACTCTTCTCCATAGTTTTCCTCTCATTGTGTTGCTGAAATTTCCTATTGTAACCTTTAGTATCTATCAGCAAGACAATTCTCCAGAAAACAGAGATCTATTTACTACTGCTAGAAACCATTGTAAAAAGGTTTTTTCTAATGCTATTCTCAGGTCACAAAATCTTGTATTTCATCACAAAATTTGTGACTTCTGGAGAATCTTTAACAGTATCTATAACAAGGGCAAATCTGTTATTTCACCTCTCTCGAATGGTTCAGATTTTGTCACCTCACCTAAAGACAAAGCTGAATTGTTTGCTAAGAACCTTTCATCAATATCATCTCTTGATTCCATTAGTTGCGTTCTACCTGATATAGTCATCAAACTGTTTGATCCATTGATTGACACTTGTATCACTTGTATCACATCTAAAGTGTTTTCCTGCTTAGACTCTTCTACAGATTGTGGCCTGGACAACATTCCTGTTATAGTCTTGCAGAAGTGTTCTCCGGAGCTGTTGTCTATACTTTCAAAACTATTTGACAAGTGCTTATCAGAGTCTTGTTTTCAAGCCTGCTGGAAAGCAGCATCTGTTATCCCTATTTTCAAAATTTATGGGTAGCAATCTGACTTGTCTAACTACTGCCCCATTAGTCTTCTTTTTATTATAAGCAAGATTTTTGAGTCATTAATTACAAACACTTAATCTCTGATTTTGAATCTATTAACTTACTTACTGATCATCAATATGGATGTCGATCTTCCAGAAATTCTTACATCTAAGGTAGCATTGTTTGCTGATGATACTATTATTTATACTTGCCTTGATAAGTAGCAAACACTCTCTGATTGCTTGAAGAGAACATTTGAGTTTGAAGAGGATCTCACTTTTGCTACAGCATGGGGCTTTTAGTGGCTGTTGAACTTTAATCCAGAAAAAACTCAGTTTTTTCCAGCTAATTGTTATTGCAATTATTTAGATCTTCCTGTTTATGAATGATAATGTACTTAATGAGTAATCTACCCTTCATCTTCTAGAATTAGCTCTTACTTCTGATCTAGCATCTTTCTCTTGTCTACAAATACTATAAGATTTGTAGATAAG